CCTCTTAACCGAGACCCAGTTGAAATGATGTGAATTCTGAGGTTATTGGCACTTCTAGGGAACAAGATAAGTAATTTGCTGTGTAACATTAATCAAATTAACAGGGCCATAAGCATTCCATGTTGTATGTGTGTGGCCTAGCACAGAGTTGCATCTCTCAAGCATGGCTAATAGACTTGGAACACAGGTTTATGCATTCTTTTTCTCTCTGATATTTCCAGTACAAATGCATCCCTCGCCTGAGCACCATTTGGTGGACATTTGTATTGGGACATAAATCTAGGAAAACATGAGCAACGATGGCATCACCTGTTGACTTTGCCTGTAGATGTCTTCACAGGTGCCCAGCATGGTGCGAGACACTCCTCTGAGTTTGGTGACTTGGGATGTTTGTACTAGCAATGAAGGTGTCCTCTGAATATTCCCACTATCGGCTTAAATTAGAGGTTGGGTGCAGATGCCAGTTTAACCGTAATGGGGCATCATCTGTGCAACTACATGGTTAACCCTAACCAGGCAACGAAAGCCCACTTCTACTCTGGTTGCACAGAATGCCTGGTTTGGTGCAAATGTTACAGTAAACTATGGTTAGAGTCAAGAGGGTAAAGGTAGCAGAATTTATGCCAGAAAAGAAGAGGAGGAGGAGGAGGAGGAGGAGGAGGAGGAGGAGGAGGAGGAGGAGAGTGGAGCATTTGTCTGGAAACCTTGGGGTAGGGAACATTTTTTTACATGGGAGAGACTTGAGGGAAGATTGGGGAATCAGCAACTGGGGGTCTTTGGTGCCAAACACAGCCCCTTTAAGAGGATTATGGGGTCCCAAAGTAACCAGCCTAGAAGGTGTGACATGACTGACAGCTGTGGCAATGGGGCTTACTGCCACGTCACCTTAAAGGTTGGGGCAGATTGAGAACTTTGACCTCTCAAAGTGGTCTTCCAGCAAATCTAGTTGCTGACGACGACACTAAATTAGCTCTTTCCAGCTCCATGATTCCATGAATTAATTCTGTCATAACTGTGCTTAAAATGTTAACACAAGTCTATGCTGCTTTTTCAGCTCTCCAGAAACGAGTTCTGAAGTTTAAAGCGGTAACCTTTTCTCTAGCTCAATCATAAGAGCCAGCTTTCATCTGACAAGGTAATTTAGAGAGATATACACTGGGGGGAAATTCTTGCAAGTTGTAATATGTTTCTTTAGTTCTTGCGCTCCTTTATTAGGTTGTTGTTTTTTTAGGCACTATTTCACAAGAGGGGGAAAATCCAATGAATGACAGTAATCGAATCAATGGGGGCTTAATTTGCTAAAGAACAACACATGTTTAGATTCTACACTCTTAACAAAAGAATCCCTCAAGATTGGCTTTTCTGCATGTATGTTTGTGTAGTCAAAAATAATCTGTCTGCAAAATCTCTAGCAAGGAACTGAATCTGTAGTGGTAGCCAACAAGCTGTGCAATGCTATTCCTTATTTATGCCCTCTGGGCACAGATAGGATTGTTCCCAATGCCACGTCTGTCGGTGAAACCTGAAGTTGCCCGTGTAGGAAATCTACCTGGCTGTTAACAACACTGGTGAAACTCTTACACCAGTGGAAAACTGCTGGTGTGAAGGAAATTCTGGATGTACCAAGGGATCGGCCGGTTTGGCCTAAACCAAGGACGTATGCCCAGGGGGGCACAAAAATCGTGCTTCTTCACTATAGCTCAAAATGACTAGGAGACAACCTGCCCATTTCACACACTCCCCAGGCAGCTGCTACATTGCTCTGGGTGGCCAACATCTCCTTGCCAAGGGCACAAGAGATGGTGGAGGGGTAACAGCTCCTTGCCATTGGCACAAGGGATGGGGGGGGGGCACAGATACATCTTCTTGCCCAGAACAGGGAATGTCAATACGTCTCCTTGCCAAGGGAGCCTAGCGATGCTTCTAGATATAGTTCTAGGCATGAAATGGGAAGAACAGAATCTAAGTGCAGCTCCTGTGTCTGTGCAGGAGTCAGTCCTACTGTTGATGATGCCGTTAACATTACGTGTACAAAATAAGTGGCGCACATGGAAAGAAAACAGAGAGCCCAAGATTACTGTCTCCCCCTCGAACCCGTAGACAAAGCAGAGGATAGGATTGTAACTAGCTTACTGCAGCACAGCCTCAGAAATATCCATGTGCAGGATGGGATCACACCATCTAGGAGCAAAGAAATAGGAGCTTGCTGGTGGAAACTTTGGTGGTGGGGGGTTCTTAACTTATAGGGGTGGGTGTACTTTGCACAGACAACAAAGACTCATCAGCCAGGAGAACCAAAAATATATAAAGGGAATAGCACTTGAGATCTCAGCCTTGCCTCAATATTTTAGACATCAGCATGAACCAACTCCTCTTCTTCAAATGAAGCTGCAAGGCCAAGGCACTCCAAGTAAGCAAAAGAGAGAGGCTCATCAGGGAGAGGAGCCCATCCCTCAAAGCATGATTCCTGAACATCCTTCCATTTCTTCCCTATAAATGCTCCAAGGAAGGAAAGGGATGTGTAGAGCTACTCACAAACACCAGCGGCCACAGAAATGTGTCCTACCACCTCCTCACTGCAGTTAAGGCAAAAAAATACTGTAAAATTCTAAATATGTTTCAAGTCTAGGGAAATAAGCCAATGTTAATATTCTCTGCTGTTCTCCAGAACCCTAAAGAGCCATCCACATTTTGCACCATTAGTTTGGCCCTGGCCATCTTATCTTTCTTTTTCACTGAGAATGACTTTATCATATACAGTGTGATGCAGAATATCAAAGGAATTGAAGCTTCTTGACCTCAGTTCCAATTTGTATGATCACTCAGTGGGGATTTCCTTGAAGCTCGACTTGGTACTTTAGTACCTCCCTGAAATGGAAATCGGCAATAACCTGTACAATTATGCATTCCAAAGCTACTTCATGTTCTTTCTAAACCTTGGGAGAGTGAATTAAACACTCCAAGATTTCAGCTGCAAAAACACGGCACTCGTTAAGAAACTTCATTTTGCGATTCCATTCTTGGGCCCAAATTCCGTGGTGCATTTTGAGGACCTAGGAGCGCTCCTGCAAGTCTCTTCCATATCAAAAACACAGAGCATGGGACCATAGTATCACAGATGTGGGATAAATCCAGTGGATCACCGGATCAAATCCCCACAGTCATGGGCCTCAGATGTGGTGTGGCTAGCAAACTCTTCATACCTGAGCACCACTTTGAAGGTGGTGTATTGCATTATTATTATTATTATTATTATTATTATTATTATTATTATTATTATTATTCAGTATATCAAATTTATGAAATAAGTAAATAATAAATGTTGCTGCCATAAGGGCAGCTAAACATCTCTGGGAACCTTGCCATACCTGGTATTAGTCACCCCTGTTAGATTAATTTCCCTGGAAATGTTTCTTCCTTCCTTAAATTAAGATCGTGCAGGGTTCTCCTTACTGACACAGTCCAATGATCCATTTAACCTGCCATTTTGCCTCTCACAGTAGACAAGCCAAAATGCAGCATTAGTAGGGCGTCATTTTTCTTCTACCCAAAATGGCAGTGTGTCCTTCTGCTGGGCAGAAGGAACCAATGGGCTGCTGGAGAAACTTCTAAAGCAGCAGCAAACCTTTCTGCTGTTGTTCAAAAGAAAGAAAAACTTAAGGAAACCCACTGCTACAGGCTCCTTAAAAAGCCAAGTTCAGCTACACTGTCTGCTGCCTCCCCTCCACCCCACCCCATCAAATCGTTGAAAGAAGCTGGACCTAAAGCTTTGGATCAGTTCTAGTATCCTACAGTAGAATAAAGGGAACTTTCAGACAACCTGTTAATTATTGAGCATTCATTCTGATTTGTTCGTAGGGACGTTAGATGATGATGTTGCGTCAAAATAAATGCTCTCTCACACTTTCCAGTGTATTTTCTTGTCATTTCCCTTACTGAAAAAAGCTTGTTGCAGCTTTGTTGTTAAAGACCTTCCAATCAACTGCAATAGCACATCCTGATTTAGTCAGCGTATGACTGAAGTCATTGTATGTGATTTGGAGCTGTCTATATGTCTAAACCACTGAGCCTCTTGGGCTTGCCGATTGGAAGGTTAGCGGTTCGAATCCCCACAACAGGGTATTGCTTGGTCCAAGCTCCTGCCAACCTAGCAGTTCAAAAGCACGCCAGTGCAAGTAGATAAATAGGTACCGCTCCGGTGGAAAGGTAAACGGCGTTTCCGTGCGCTGCTCTGGTTTCAGTGTTCCGTTGTGCCAGAAGCAGCTTAGTCATGCTGGCCACATGACCAGGAAAAACTGTCTGCGGACAAACGGCGGCTCCCTCAGCCTATAAAGCGAGATGAGCGCCACAACCCCAGAGTCATCTGCGACTTGACCTAACGGTCAGGGGTCCTTTACCTTTACCTTTTATACATTTAAAGAACATTTAAAGCATATGACCACCCCCATCCCTCAAAGAATCCCGGGAATTACAGTTTCTCTCAAGCAGGGTTATAATTCCCAGCACCTTTAAAAACTACAGTTCCCAATATTCTTTGGGGGACTGACCTCTGAAGCAGTCTGTTCCACTGCTGGACACTCACACCAGAAAACCTATCTGAAAATCCTGCCCACCCACCAAAAAAAGGAGAAAATCTCTGCAGAACGCAGCAAACCCAGAAGTGAGTGTTCCGGTTTGTGAACGTTCTTTGGAACCCGAACATCCGACGTGGGTTCTGCAGGTTCCAATCGGCTGCAGGAGCTTCCTGCAGCCGATCGAAAGCTGCGCCTTGGTTTCCAAACATTTTGGAAGTCGAATGGACTTTCAGAACAGATTCCGTTTGACTTTTGAGGTACGACTGTATAAAGATTTGCCAACTGCAAATTGAAACCTGTCCACTGTGATCTGAATCCAAGCAACCCACAGCTTGTTCATCCTTGTCCAATGGTTGCAAAGACTTGATGTATCAGATCGGCCTCCTAAGGGACAGAAACATCATTGCTATCCAGTCTTGATTCCAGATACATTTGAATTTTTTACGTTTCCTGTTGGGTTTTAAACGCTAATGAAGGAGTAACAAAGCGATGGAGAGATTCAAATACCTTCCCAATCCCCGGGTTTTCTTTGACTTTCGACACAGCTCTTAAAAGGCATGGCGGCGCAGGAGGAGGAGACATCTGCAGAATGCCACTAAAATTAGTGGCGTAGATGGAGAATTCATGGGAGTGCAGCAATGGGGCATGATGCTTCTTTCTCTTCGAGGACAGGTTAAGTTTCTGGGCGGCTCTGAACAAAGTAATATTGAAGAAAGAAAGAAAAAAAAGGACAGTGTTATTATCTAGGAGGAGCAATTTAGGCCAGTAAACCAGATGTTCAGTGCCATCGCTGCCTGTTGAACAAATCAAGCCATTTCTTTTTGCAATCAGATTTCATGAGAACCTTTCGCCAGGAGATTAATAGAAGGAAACAGGGGCCAAAATATGGCTGGCATGACATTTGTGCAATTTCTCTCTCCAGTAGAGTTTCAATTATATCCTTTTTTTAAAAAAAAGAGACTTTTGGCAAGAGCTAAGAAGAATCAAAGGTTGCCAAAGCCTCACGTCATTAAATGCTGAAATCATCCCCTTGTCACTCGCAGGCCCAGATGGACTTTGCCACTGCTGTGTTCACTAAGAAGTTATATTTTGTACCTAACAATTGAAGAGACAAAAGGGAAATGACTTCTGGCTATGGTTTACACAGGAGTTATATTTTGTACTTAACAAGGTAAGAGACAAAGTGGCTTCTGGCAATAGCATAAGCCAGTTGGGTTGTGAGCCCCACTGGGGGTGTGGGGAGAGACAGTTGCATTTTCAAGCACACACAAAATGAGAGCCCATGGCAGAATTCAGTTTGGTTCTTTGAGAACAGAAAATGGATCACATTCAACGTCCCTAATTTTTCATGTGCAGGTAACATTTCTGCATGGAGGAGCATTTGGTCATGAGAGTTCCAACCTGTAGTCTGATCTGGTTGAGCCCAGACTACAGCTTTACATCCGCATTGAGAATTTGGCCTACAAAGTGTAGAATGCCTATTTTGCTTTGATGGAGCAGAACATGATCTCCAGATACAGAATCTCAAGCAGTTCAGCTGGGACCAATTGTCATGTGATTCCTCCCCTCCTAGAACTGTCTCCCAATACCAGCAATTATGAGGGAGACAATACAGCAAGATCAACTCCATTAGCTTTGGCCGAGGCAAGCTGATATTCGGCTCCTCCCCTCTCAGACCTGTTTCCCTCAGCGGCCATCTCACCTGATCCCAACAATAATCACGAAAGGATCTGTATTTGTATTTGCTTCATTTCCTGCTCCCTTTTATATTGTATCTAAGGTATACAAATACTCGGGGAAAAATGCCTTGGAAGAAAGGTAACGTGTAACTGGATTAAGCAAAAATCAGTGCAATCCTACACATGCCTGTTAAGAAAAGAACAATGTACTTACAAGAAAGTGTGTACAGAGTTGTATAAGTAAGGAAGACATGCATGAACATCACTAAGATTGACTCCTATTCGTCCAAAATTAAGAGAAACATTTGCCCACTAGAAAAATGCAGAATCTGAAGCAACATCTAGTAACAAAAGTAAGGCTGAAAGGCAGCGTGAACCAAGGGGCCACAGAAAACAGAAAACAGTTCCATCTTAAAAGCACAATTTAATTTACATAATATTTACATAAATGTGATTGACAACTGGCATGAGGATGTCTTGCAATTCAGGGACATTACTGCTGCATTTTTGGTCCTCATACTTAAGTTTATTCTCTACGGCCAAACATCCACGTCTCAAAATGTTCCCGGGTTTATAAACGACACTTCCCATATTTTTGATTAATAGGGAATATTATGCATATTCTAGCTTCCATTATGTGCTATAACATGGAAATAACAAACAGGGGGGAAATAGCTCTGGTGAATACTTTCAAAGCTCTATGAAGGGATGTACACGGAATCCTGATAGATTAATGATTGCTTCAATACAGTCTGCAAATGGAGTCCCCTTGGGAGAAATATATAAAAGAGGATGCCAAGATTGAATTTACACATCCAATGTTTATTCAGACACCCAGGCTGAGTGTTAATAGCCAGATACGTTTAGCATACACAAGGGGATCGGCGAATGAAAAATGTAGGTCAAGTATGCTGTAAACGTGCAAGTTCTGCCATAAAAGCCAAGGCCACAAACCAAGTTAGCCATGCTCAGATGCACTGAAATCAACGGACTTAAGCACATCTGACGGTGTTGGATTATGGCATAACTTTTTAAAATAAAAAGGGCCAAAGCTGCCCACTGGAACTGGTAGGGTAAAAGTCAAGAATTCTAGCCAACGACAGGCAGAAACCAATAATTCTAGGTATTCCTCCATCCTCCTCTCTGCCAAGTTCTACAGGGACAAAATGGAGGCAAAGGAGGAAGAAACTGACAGCCAGGTCTGCCTCCTGGACTGGCTGCATAAGAAGGCAGAATGTTTATGGTTAAACCATGTCTAGGATGCCTAGGGAAGGATGTCAGTTTCAGCAACTGATTTTCATGGAGGAAGAGCACCAGGAATGAGTTGCTCTGCTCACTAGGCCTGACGCTCAACCAAGTCTGTGGAGATCGTGTTTTTGCTAATAAAGAGTTAACTCCATCTTTGAACTGTGCAATTACTGATCGGCACACTGCTGCGACATGCTGGCATTCTGAGAGAAGGGGGGAAAACTTCTTCCTATCCACTTTCTCTGCATCATGCATAATTTTATGTGCCCCTTATCCTATCGCCCATTCCAACTCGCCTTTCCCTGAACTAAAAAGCTTCGAACGATTTTAGGGAAAAGCTGAAGCAGCTGCTAGAGAGGGTCATTAACAATAAGAAAGGCCAAATGCAATGCTAATTTTACTTCACGTGGATCTTTAAAATATATACCAGACATTACAGTGCCCTCAGAGCACCCATTTGTACATGAAAGCATTCGGAAGAGCATCATCTGCCTTCTTAGTCACTTCTGAAGAGTATTAGCAGTACTGTTGGCACCGACAATTTCCAGCAGCAGATTCAGTGCATGAAAAGAAAGGGAGCCCCGGCTGAAAACAAGATGGAGGACTTAGATGCATGGAATGCAATGATCAAAAAGGCAAGGATTACCCAGTTACCCATCGGATCTTGGAATGACCACAAGAGAGCCTAGACTATTTATACATTAAATGCAAGACAGCTGCTCCCCCAGCTTCTTTTGAGTTTCTGAGCCACTGGGCCAATGTCAAGAGGCAGAGCGGCAGTTTGTACCACACATGATGCCTCTTGCAGCAAAAAAATGAGCAGCTGCTACCTTGGTGGCCTTCCTTGGAGGAATTAATAAAGCTACGCTGTAACCAAAACTGGCATGGCACCGCGCCTGAAACAGCAACCGAGAGAGCAAGCAATTTTAATTCCCAGAGTGCTCACCGATTCCAGAACATGCTTAGCAGTTCGCCCATATGGCGGAAGGAGGGTAGCGCTTAGCCCCATGACAAAAGTAAGTGAAATCTGTTTTGTTTTCCTTTCAAATGCCTCAAATGTCGACAGAAGTGGATCATACCAACTTGTGGCAGAATTGCACTCTGGGTGAAACCCAATGGCAATTCTAGGAGAAGACGTTCAGAAAGCTTCTTCCAAATCATTGTTCTGTTTAGGCGCCGGACTTTTCTGTGACTGCAGCCAGCTGTGCCACGCCAAATATCTTCCACAAAAAGAACGTTGCTTTGTCCAGGTGCAGCAATTTGTGCATATGGTGGACATGGCGATCTGACAAGGAAAGCCTGCACTGGAAACTTTCAATGAATGAATACCACTTAGAGGAAGGCCACAGTTCAGTAGTAAAGCACATGCTTTCCATGTAAAGGTTCCCAGTACAATCCTTGCCAACTACAGTGTGGAAACCCTGAAGATCTATCTGCCGCTCAGTATAAGACAAGGCTGAGCTATATGGACTAATGGTCTGATTTCAAATAAGGTAGCCTTCTACACAAAACAGAGAGAGTAAGGCTGCATGCCTTTCTTTAAAGCACCTTTCCCCCTCCTCCCCAAAAAAGGAATCATGGGAAATGTAGTTTGTTAACAGCAACCCTCTTGGGGTAAACTACAGCTCCCAAGAGTCTTTGGAGTGTGTGTGCTTTGAATATATGATATGTACACAGCCTAAAATCTAACACAATTACGAGGACAAATGAGTGATAACATGGTTTCCATTTACCTTCTTCAAACTTATCACTGACGTATTTCAAAAGAAAGAGGCTGTGGTTGATTTCTAGCTCATGCACGTGACATACATTAGTTCTCTCCTTCTGTTCAATCCCTAGCACAATTCCCAGACACAATTTGCAAGGCCGAGAAATGAAGGGATGCAGAAGACGAGGAGGACAACGATGTGATGGAAGGACCACATGTTTGATTCCAGGTGAGGAAGCTCCTCAAATTCTGACTAAGGTTAAGACGCACACACTATTCCTTTCCTTGTGCTTATCTAGCCTTCTAAAAGGACTCCAGAAAAGGATGCCAAGGCACAGACTTTCAACAGCTTTCCCAATTAAGGCTTCTGAAATGCCGCTGTATATTATTTTCCCCTCCGACTGTGAGATCTACTGTCTGCATTTTGCTTAACTTTTCATCTTTAATAGAAGTTGTCTTTTAAGATGCTCCAGAGAGTTCTTTGCTCATAGCTAGGTGTCACAGCAGAAAATAAAAAATGAATATATGGCACAAGGAGGAGCACTCAAATATCAAGTGACAAGGGACAGGCCTCTAACCCGCTCTTTCCTCTGCACAATTTACAGATTGCTCAGTTGGCTGCTGCGCATGGAAGGCGAGGCAAAGCACACAGGGAGACGGCGAAGACCAATTAACTAATGGCCTGCATCTGGAGAACAAAATGAAAGAGGAGGTGACAAACCCAGATACAGAAAGAAGTTCACACTGGCCTGGTTTGCCCGTAACACAAAACCATGGTCTAAAACACATCATAGTTTACCCAGTAACTTTATTGCAAATGATTAGCGTGCTGATGCATGCTGCTCACTTACTCCTTCCTCCTCCTTCCATGCAGTATAAGAAACAAACTAGAGTATGGGCTTAGCCCATACATTTGGGTTTGCTTCCTCGCTCATCCAGCGAACGGAGGGGACACTGGAATGAATGGGGCAACGGGCAACAGCATGCTGCTCCATCATGATAAGCCATGCTTTGTTTTAGACAATGGTTTGTGTTACATAGGGACACGGGTGGCGC